TGGCAGGCACAGAGGGGCCAGGATGAGTGGGAACAACACGGTGCCCTGCCAGGGCTTGGGCTCCTCCCCGGCCGCCTGCTGCTTCACACACTATTACATCCCTCAGGGGATGTAGAACTGCTGGTTTCTCCTGATCCCCACAGGCCAGACTGAGGGACCCCACCAGTGCACGAATCCGTGCACCAAGTCTCTAGTTCTTTAGAATGAACTTTAAGAATATTTGGTTTATCATACAATTCTAAATAAGTAGAAGTAAAACTGGATAGATTCAAACTTGTTTTACTCAGCAAAGGCTTATATTAGTACTGGATTATCAGGTAGTGTAAACAAATGAGCTCAACATTAGATGCTCACATTTAGAACCCCTGAGTCCTCTACCTTATGCTGGATTTAGAATTTTGCTCATTTGCTGACAAATGGTCATTCTCATGGTGGCCCTGTCAGCCAGTCAGTGTCACCATCTTTTCTCTTTTTGTTGCATTTGTGCCCTTATTTTATAAAAATAAGGGGAAACAGAGCATAGGTGTTAAACTTTATAACATTGAGACAAGATAAAAATCATCGCTTTTGCTTACAATGGGGAATCTCCACCCTCAATCAGTTGTGCTCTGGAATTCAGCCAATGGAGTCTGAGCTGAAGTATGAAGGAAGATTATGTATTTGAAGATCATATGTGAAGTGCAGGAGATATATCGTGAATGATTGTGTTTAAACGGCAAAGTGTGAGGAAGGGTTCATAATATGTTAGCTCGCCAGGATAGAAACCCCATACAACACATAGTCTTTTGTGTATTTTATGTGAATACACATTTTCAGAATTTATGTGTGAAGATGGGAACTGGACGTCTAGAGAGAGTGAGTGGCAGGGCTTTAGAGAAATAGCATGCGGTCTCCTAGTCCTAGAATGAGACAGATGACTAATTGTTATACCCAAGCAGTACATATTGGTTGTTGCAGTAATAAAAGGAAGTATTTCAACAATTTATTCCATATGTATTTATTGAGCCTCTACTATGTATAGACAATAAGGATATAATGATGAATAAAACAAATGATTTCCTGCTTTAATAGAGCTTATGATTGTGTGGGGATGTTAGTGTCGATGGTGGGGGTGGAAGCAGATGTTAATCCAACAAGCTCAAATGTAAAATTGCAATTGTGGCAAGTGTTACAAAATACAGAGATCCACATACCTGTACTATAAGAACCTAAGATAGGGGGCTTTGCCTTAATGGCTCTTTAGCTGATATTTGAATGATGAACAGGAAGTAAATAGGGAAAGGTTCTAGAAACAGCATTTCAGGCAGAGAGAACAGCGTGTCTAAAGGCCCTGTGGTCGGGGAACGTGGTAAGTACGAGACGGGGGTAATAAGGGAAAGGGCAAGCATGGTGCAAGGTGGAAGGGCTAAGTGTTTTATCTCTAACGTGAAGGACGGGAGGATGAGCCCTGTGGGTGTGTGGAGGGAGGAGATTCTAAGCAAAGGGAATAGCAAGTGCGAAGGCCTGCGGTGGGAGGACATATGGTGTAACTGGGGAACAGAACAGCAAAGTAGCCCCTGTTGCTGGAGCAAGGTGTCAAGGGGACAGCAATGAGGAATAAGATTAGAATGCAAAGTTGGGGCAACTCTGTTACGTAGGGCCTTGCGGACTGCTATAAGGACTGACTTTACCCTGGGTGATGGGACATTACCTTTTATCTTTGTATGAAACTATGTGCCCACTTTCTCTGCTTCCAACATAATTGATTGGTTAAATCTATGTTTAATGTATATATTTATCATTACTATCAAATATTATTTTCTGCATTGCCAAGCAGTATACTATGACATGTTCACTTAATCTCTTGTAAACATTTTGTTGATAATTCCCTAATTTTCTTCACCTGCTTAATTTTCTTTGTACCTACTAGTATTTATAACTCTTTCCAAACTCCCCAAACAGAGTTGGAAAGCCCATTTAAACACCATTGTCCATGTGATTGAAGCGTCAGGCTTTCTCCGGGTTCCTTTCCCCAGGAGTCTTGCATTCCGGGGCCTCCCAGTCTCCCACTCCAGTCTTGCCTGCTGTCTCTGCCTCAGCACCGCTGTGTCCTGGGATTCACTGCCTCCTCTCTGGTGCTGAGTCTCCGCTTCCCTGCACATCTTTTCTTCTTCCGTGGTGTTTCTTCTTTTGGTGGGCAAACCCTCCACACATTTTATAGGAAAGGTAAAGGGCAGGTACATTTTTGAAACTGCATGCCTTTATTTAACTCTCAAACTTCATTAATGATTAGACGGTGCAAAATTTCAGAGTGGATGTCATTTTTCTTCAGAATTTTGAAGGCATTGCTCTGTTGCTTCTGAACACCCAGTCTTGCCATGAGAAGTTGATACTTTTCTGATTTCTTTGTATGTGACATTTCTTTCCATCTGGGAGTTAACATCTTCTCTTTATCCTTGGTGCGTTGCAATATCATGACTTTGTACCTTAGTCTGCATATATTTGGCATAGAGGATGCCTATTATATTTAAATTTCAGATAAACTATGAGTACTTTTGGAACATACTTTTACCGCAAGTTTACTCACTGTTTATGAAATTTAACTGGATAACTGTTTCTGTTTGATTTGTTTTTCTAAATCTAGCAAACTTAGAACTTGGGTCTTTTATTTTTCTTATTTTATTTCCATTTATTTATTTATTTATGTGTGAGAGAGAGACAGAGAGAGAGAGAGAGAGAGAGAGAGAGAGAGAGAAACATTGATGTGAGAGAGACACATTGATCTGTCCTGCAACCCAGGTACATGCCCTTGACCGGGAATTGAGCTTGCAACCCTTTGGGAATCTAACCACTGAGCAGCACTGGCCAGGGTGGAACTTGGGCCTTTTAATCCGGAGACTTGTGTCTTTTAGTTTAGGGATATTTTCATGTATTATTTCTTTTCCTTTAAATTAAAATATTGGTCTGAGCTTAGAAAGATAAATATTCAACAAGGCTAATAACCCAGGTTATTTATTGTTATTTTTATAATAGCCCCTGGCTCCACCCCTCCCATCCCTATCTTCACTTCTCAGAAACAATCTCTTTAAACTGTTTAGCTGTTTCCCAATGATACACTTATTCCTTCTTTTTCCATTATCTATCAAGTCTTAGAAAAGTTGACATCTTACATGGAAGATAAGGATTTCGCTTTCTTACACCATGCACCATTACTCTCCACGTACTTCTCAACCCACTGTGGTATGAACATCAGGGCAGCCTGGGATAAAGGCCACTGTGTTTATACCCACATCCTGAGAACGGGGCCTAACGCAGGCCGTTGGCATGTGGAAGTTGTGTCCAGACACCTGACACAGCTCCACAGTTGAATGCAGATGTGCCTGTACAGGCTTCTTGCAAACATGAGCGTTCGAGAAAAGCAAGCAGATTTCTGTTCATTCTCCTTTGACACAACAAAAAACTGCATTTTTACCATTTGCTAAAGTGTTACCTTCCACTTGATGACCAGTGGAATTTCACAAAGAAACAAAGGTTTTTGTTTTGTTTGATTGTGTTTTTAACCGCTTTGCAGAAGTTATTGCATATGGATAAAGCCAGAGGAAAGCACTGGGTGATGTCCTTGTGACTCTAACGCCGGATGGTCAGTGACACTTGGCTGCAAGCAGGCTGCTGCCCCCGGAACCCTAGGCTTACAGTACATGTCTGGGTCACCTTTGTGCTTGAGTAAAATTACCCATTACTTACTCCACGTGACAGATCTTGGGGCTTGCTCTCACATAATTGATATTACAAATGTTAAATCTTTTCATTCCACAGGAGTTTACTGCACAGGCACAATAATACCTATTGTAAATCTTTACCTTTCCTAAAGTGGTTTCACAAACATCTGGTTCTTGTGGTAGCCCTAAGAATCTGGGAACACACCTCACATTGTCATCCCTGTTTTATACATGTGGGAACAGAATTGCAAGCAAGTATTGGTTTTATTTGTTTTTAGCCAAACTCTGGCCTGCTTTTGAAGGGCATAGGGATAGTTACAGAGTCACATACATCACATGCAGATGGGCAAGTGAGGGGCCCAACTTTCTTGGCCCAGGACCTGGGAGAGGCAGACCTTGAGCACAGGACACTAGGTCCCACATCCCACATACTTCCTAATGGAAAACAATCATGTATACTGTCTTGGGGGCCGACTGTAAAGGCAGCAGGATATCAGGGATATCAGGAAAGAGAGAGATCGATCATGTTGGGATGGCCAGAGGAGCTCCGGGAAGTGGGGGACGGGGCCGGGCTGGAGGATGGTGGGACAAGGCAGCATGGGAGGGAGAAACAAGCATTCTGGTGGGAGGGCTGAGGGAGGAGCCAGGCCATGGCCGTGGGGAGAACTCTTCCCCGGAGGGAGGTTATGCCTGACACACACTGAGGGTCCGGAAGTGGGGGCCGGGGCCGGGCTGGAGGATGGTGGGATGAAGCAGCGTGAGAGGGAGAAACAAGCATTCTGGTGGGAGGGCTGAGGTCAGGAGCCAGGCCGTGACCATGGGGAGAACTCTTCCCCCGGAGGGAGGTTATGCCTGACACACACTGAGGGTCAGAGATGGGTCCTGGGACCAGGGTGGACGGTGCTGGGTGTTAGACAGCAGGGGTCCCAGCTGGGTAGATTGTATGGAGCCTTACTCCCCAGGGCCTGGAGTCAAGCCGAGTGCTATCCCTGGAGGATGAAGGGGCCACTAAAGGAGGATAGCTAAAGACACAGTATACAAAGGCAACTTCCGCAGGACGGCTTCCGGCTGCATGTGCTTAGCAGGGCCCGATGAGTTGCAGGGGCCCTTGTGGGGCCCGTGATGTGGGAGGTATGGTTTGAGCAAACAAGAATAGGGGCTGAGTGAGGGACCACTGTTCAAATGTCAGGGGAGCTGAGGGAAGAGGCCAGAGGCATTCCCAGGTTTCGTGGTGCCATTCCTCTTGCAGCTCACACTCATGTCACTAACTACACTCCTTATGTTCTGATTCCTCCCTTACAGGGAAAAGGCTGGCACAGTGGTCCAAGCAAGGACTCCTACACGTAGGTCTGACAGCGGCTGGACAGAGGGCCTGGACCCTTGACTTCTTCAGAAGACGGGGTCCCTCCTTAGGTGATCTGGCCTGACACCCCTCCATGGCCTCTCACAGCAGTGACAGACTACGAAAAGCTGAGATCGAGCCCGCCAGTGTTAAAGATGGCCCAGAATGTTGGAGTGAGGTTGTATGGGGAAGTGAAAGCTGGTGGTGTGGGCAAGAGACCAGGTACGGGGAGGTCAGAGGTCAAGGGATGCCAGAAAGTGCATGCCACAGACCCGTCCAGGAAAAAAGTGGCCGTGGAAGGCTAACAAATAAATATATGGCAAAGTCTCAGAGGCTATGTGTTTTGCTGCATCAACACATCAACAGCTAAGTTAAGCAGACAAACTAAGTAGGCATGACAAAATCAGGCGTGTCTCCAGCATGCTAGGACACCTGGCCAGCTTCCCGGCGCCGCCTACAGATCATCAGAATAGGTGCTTGATTGCCCTGGGCAGCAGCCTCCGCCCTGACAGGGGACACTCTCCAAGAAGGCAAAATGTGTAACCCATGGTCCAGGAGTTGTCTGCCTCTTATATGTACAAGACTGCAGGCAAATGTCAAGGTCGGAGTTCCATTCCCATGGCTCTCCCAGGGCCCAGAGGTACTGCGTGCAGGGTCTCCCGGTAGCAGGTGGGCCTGCTTCCTAGTGTGTGACACACACTGCTCTTCTTGTCACCGACAGCCCTTCCCTCCTGGCCGGTCCTCAGGGAAGAACAGCAAGGTCACTTCTGGGAATTCCCTCCTTCTCACCCACGTACCTCCCCTCAGGCCCTGCCAGGCTGCTCCCACTAGTAGACTCTCACCCAAGTAGCTTTTCCTCTTAGTGACAAAACACAAGGTTGATTTTCCTGCCCTGAATTTACTTTCCCCTTAGTGTTGCTGGAGTTACAGTCCACTTTCATGTCAAGAATCCCCCAGATACCTTCTGAGTGCCGGGCTTCGTTACCATGCTGCAGACTTCTCAGCAGCCGGGACCTGAGCCTTAGCCACAGGCCCACCTGATGTCCAGCAGAGCTCCTGACACGGAATTATCACTCACAAAGTGTCTGGTGAACCAGTGAGTGGGGACATGAGTGGATAAAGTGTTGACTCTGGTTAGTAGATACAGTTAAAACACTTTTATACTGAAAGGGCTCTGCACCCAATTCCAATGCCGGGAGAGGGGTTCCTCCACACCAACAAGCAATTCTCAGACACCGCTCCCCCCACTCCCTTTTGGATGCCAATTGCAAGTCCAGATTGTTACCAGCTTCTGACGACTGGCTGTAAATCAGAGGTTCCCATAACCTCCTCCTCAGGTTCAATTAATTCGCTGGAGCAGCTAACAGAGCTCAGAGACACATTTTACTTACTAGATCACTGGTGTACCATCTACACTAATAAAAGAGAAACATGGTAATTGGCGTACGACCGCTACCCTTTTCATTGGCTAATCAGTGAGTATATGCATATTAACTGTCAGCCAAGATAGCGGCCGGCAGCCAGGCACTGAAGCGAGCACGAGGCTTGCTTGCTGCAGACTCCAACGTTCCCCGCCTCACTTGCCAGCCTCTCAGTTGCAACTCTAAGCAACTATATACTATGTTGCAAATAAGAAGCTAAGCAAAACCCCAGAAAAGGGCTTCCATTCAGCCGGGCTCGGACCGCAACATTGTATCTATGTTTTCAGCAGCGAGGCCTCAGAGCTAAAAGCTCAGCCGAGTGCACAAATTTTTGTGCACCGGGCCTCTAGTTACAGATATAAGCCAGCAACAGCCAGATGGCGGAGAGGCATGGGGCAAGGTGTGTGGAAAGGGGAGCGGAACCTCCATGACCTCTCTCGGAGCCACTCCCCCCAACCTCCACATGTTCGCCAACAGGAACCTCTCCGAACCCCATGAGTTTTTGTGGAGGCTTCGCACATAGGCCTGGAGGTCAGGGGGTGGGACTGAAAGTTCTAACTTTCTAGTCACATGGTTGGTTCTCCTGACCACCAGCCCCTACCCATAGGTGCTTTCCAAAAGTCACTTCATTCACATAGCAAGACACCTCCATCCCTCTCATCGCTTAGGAAATTCCAAGAGATTTAGGAGCTCTATGCTAGAAATAGGGACAAAGACCAAATATGTGTTTCTTATATAAATCATAGTATCAGATGTACAAATTACCAAGAACTCACACATTGTTTACTACAGGTGAAGGTGGTTGTCAAACACCCCAGCAAAACACACAGACACACATACACCCTTTTCTTTCCCAGGATTCTCTTCTAAGTAAAGAAACGCCATTACTTTGACATCTCCTGTGTGAAGGTCTATATCCTAAGCTGTATCTTTCATGTGCTTGTTTCTGTATTTAACAATGTTCATTGAGTGCCTACTCTGCACTGGGCCAATGAATAAAACCAAAAACACCCATACCCTTATGAAGGTTAGGTTCTGTTAGGGAGGCAGGCAATTGGCACAACAAATAACTAATATATTATTTTATACATAAGTACAAATACAATAAAGGAAAATACAGCAGGAGTGGGTGGGGGGGGGGAAGATTAGCTTAAAATAAGGGAGATGGGGAAAGCCTGACCTAGAAGGCTATGTTCGGTAAAGAGCAGGCGAGGTCAAGAGTGAGCCATGTAGGTCCCTGGAGGTGGTGGGGGGAGGGGGTACTCTAGGAAGAGGGCATAGCACGTGCAAAGACCCTGAGGTGGGAGCCTTGCTGGCTCCTTCTAGGAACAGCAAGGAGGCCAGAATGGCTGCAGGGCAGGGAGCAAGCAGGAGAGGAGCTGGAGATGAGGCCCATGACAGCTGGGTGGCGGAGGGTGGTGCTGGCCACACAGGGCCTTATAGGTGCCTAAAAGGACTGTGCTTGTACTTGGATTTGGAGTGGAAGCCATTCCTTCAGGTCTGATCAGGAAAGTGACATAATTGGACATGAATGTTAAGAGAATGACCAGTTAGTAAGCTGTTTCAGTAATCTAGGTGAGAGTGGATGGTGGTATGGGCCAGTCTGTCCACAGCAGAGGTGGTGAGAAGTGGGCAGATTCTGGAGAATGTGAAGAGAGAGCCAGCAGGACGAATTGGATGTGGGTGTGAGAGAGAGAGAGTGAGGCAAGGAGGCTCCTGGGGTGTGGGTTTGAGAGCTGTGTGGAGAAAGGAAAGACTGGAGGCTGGACCCTTTCTGGTTGTTGCTGGAAGCCTGGTGACGCCCCCGCAAGCTGGCCTGCAGGCTGGCCTCCTCCAGCTGAGCAGGCTCTCCTCCCTGACCTCAGCAAGCCCAGCAGAGTGTGCCCGTCCCACCCCCAGGCCCTCAGCCTTCTCTCTGAAGCCACTGGAGACTGGCAGTCGTCGTCACTGCCCTGTCTGATTTCCTGACCCCACGTGTAGGATGGGCTGATCTGAGTTTGTGATTCATGCTCAGGCTCTCACTCTTCCCTCCCTCTATACACCCACCCTCTGATTTTATTCACTACCCTCTGCACGTTTCTCAAACTAGAGCACAGGGAGTCTGTTTCTCCACCAAGTGACAGACCACCCAGAGCCAAGTGCCCAGAGAGCTCCCAAGCACCCTCAGACCAGGGGACCACCAACCAAATCATAGCCTTTAGGGTGGGACCATGGAGGCCTCATGCAAAGTGGATGGATAAAGGAAGAGGTCACCCTCGTGCTGTGAGCAGAAGGCCTGATGTCATAGGCTGCCCTCAGCCTGTCCCTGCTCTCCCATCTGTCTGCCTTTGGATGCACCATTTCAGGGTGACTTTGTCTTTGTTTTAGGTGAGGTGGCCCAGGACTGGTTTACCAGGCCACTTTTGGGTGCCCTAGGCTGGTATCAGAACGATTGTACTTCTTGAGCTCAGTTGTGCTTGCTGAAGACCAGGGAGCTCACAGGGCCACCGCGGGGAGGTCTCGGAGCTGTGCATCAGCTCATGTGTGTGGCCACAGCATGGAACAGCAGAAAGAGCTTTGAGCTGAAAGTCTGGAGACCTGGGAACCAGTCCTGGCCCCGCCACTAAACCCACTGTGTGAGAAGCAGCAAGACGTTTCACCTTTGATTCCTCCATTTCATCTGAGAAATGGAGAATTAGGCCAAATAATCTCCAATGTCTCTTCCCAACTCATAATTCTGAGATTTTTAACTCCATCACGCGGGTAACTGAGGACAAACTGATTTCCAGGTTTATGATGGAAAATAAAAACCCTCTCCTTTTGCCTAGGGCCGTGGTCGGCAAACTGCGGCTCGTGAGCCACATGCGGCTCTTTGGCTCCTTGAGTGTGGCTCTTCCTAAGCCTTAGGAGTACCCTAATTAAGTTAATAACAATGTACCTACCTATATAGTTTAAGTTTAAAAAAATTTGGCTCTCAAAAGAAATTTCAATCGTTGTACTGTTGATATTTGGCTCTGTTGACTAATGAGTTTGCCGACCACTGAGCTAGGGCTGTAGCTGGGGCTTTTGTACTTGTTCCTGACTCTGCTGGGAAACTCTCCCCTCAATATCTAGAGCAGCTGGTTCCTTTTCATAATCTGGTCTCTAAGCAGATGTTTCCTCTTCAAAGAGGCTTTCTCTGACTGTACACACAGAAGCCCCACCCCTGTCATCTGCCCAAATTGCTTTCTTTTCCTCCTGCTTATCTCCTTCAAGCTAGTTTTCATGATCTGAAATCATCCATTTAATTCTAATTTGTTCTTTTTCTCCACTACTAGAATGTAAGCTCTGTGGGGACAGACTCTTTCTTTGCCTAATAGGATTTGATAAAGAATTCAGTTGTTGGATAAGTGAGAAATAAAACATCAATCTGAGAGTTATAATCTGGGAGTTTCATCCATGGATGAAATAGAAAAACATTCCCAAGAAGCCAGAGAAGGTCACATTTTTTTTTTCCTGGCCACCACCAGAGTCATAGGCAGTCACCATGACACTCCAGGGTCTCCCCCTCCTCCATATCTGCACATCATGCTTCTTATCAGTAACCCGGAGCACGTGCTAACCAGCAGGCTGACAGAGTATTTCCTTGAGAACTTACTTACATGTCCTTAGTCTACCCTCTGGATCCAAAAATGATTGCGTGAAAGTCTCTAACACAGTGCTACAGAGTCAGAGATCTCTGATTTGCTGATGAAGTAAATGCTAAAAAACATCTAATTGCAAACAAGCACCACTCTTATGGCATTAATGCTACCTAAACAAAACATTTTTAGTAAAAGCTACTCAAATGCTTCCTTACTTATCTGCCCTTGGGGGTCCATGGCACCTCCTGGTTGGAAGAGCTCCTGAGGCAACACTTGGGTCATTCCATGAGGTCTTTGCATGACC